TGTTAGGAATCACGAATTAGCAAATCTACTTTTCTCATGGATCCATGAATAATTTTACTGTTATTAATTGTTAGTAATGTGTGTGTCATGTAGTTATGTCAACTTTGAGAGTATTTTTTTAAAATCTAGTATTTTCCAGCAAATAGTAATTTTAAATAAAAGAAAAAAGGAACATGTTTTGTTTTACTATTAGAGCAAATGATATTTTCATCACAAATGATCTGTTGGCAATTAGATCCAACTTGTCGCTCAGCTAAGCTTTGTTAACTTGATTAGTTTCCTTACAATATGTTACTTTCAAGAAAAAAATTTTTCTAAGCCGGGCGCCGGTGGCTCACGCCTGTAATCCCAGCTACTCAGGAGGCTGAGATCTGAGAATCGCGGTTCAAAGCCAGCCCGGGCAGGAAAGACCGTGAGACTCCTATCTCCAATAAACCACTAGAAAACCGGAAGCGGCACTGTAGCTCAAGTGGTAGAGTGCTCACCTTGAGCTGAAGAGCTGAGGGACAGCACCCAGGCCCAGAGTTCAAGCCCCATGACCGACAAAAAAAGAAAGAAAAAAATCTTTCTTCTGAGAAAGAACCTGTAAATGTTAGCATTTTAATCTTCAACCTACTAAAAACTTTAAGTTTCCTTTCAGTAGTTATTAAAATCTAGATTTGGTAAATCTTTTGGGACAATAATTCACTACCAGCACAGTAGTGTAAAGCTTTTATAAGACAGTTGGCAGATAGGTTTTGAAATTCTTCAAGAAAAGGTTCTTTAAAGATTGAGGATAAAAAGATTGGAGATTAGAAAATGCTACATATGGTGTGTGTGTGTGTGTGTGTGTGTGTGTGCGCGTGTGTGTGTGTGTGTGTGTGTGTGTGTGTAGTATCACTTAATATTTTTAACATTTATATGTACTTATATATCACAGCTTCACCACTCAGTTGAAACTTAAAATATTTAGATACAGTGAATGCTAAGGTAATGGTAGAAACCCTGGAGTGTCTCATTAAGTAAGTGTGGGTGAAACATGTTTTAAGCTTTCCTTCAATGCGTGTGAATCCAGTCTAATGAATAAGAAGAGTACTGTAGATGGTGTGGCATGCATATGATAGATTCGATGTCCAAAATAAGCCTTTTCTACAGGGAGAGAGACCTAGAATGAGGCTAAAGTTGTCATTAAAAATGCTTCATTCAAAATGAAAAAACAAAGCAACACACAAAGCAATAAGAATGAATCATTTTAATTTAGTCTTGCTAAAAATCATTCAGGGATGGTAACACAAGGTCATATTATTCCCTCCCCTTCAATTAGGACAGTGCCACAGGTTGAAAGTTGATTCATGCAGGTTCTTAGGCCATTTTCCAGTTATTTCAACTGCAAAGACTTCCACCTGTATGTGGATTTTACTCTATTATACAGTCGGAATTCCATTCCTGACCTAAGCTCTCCAACTCCCAATTCCTGACATCTTATCTGACTTGTGCAGTACTAGCCCACTGTTCTCCTCTGCCTGCAGTATGGCTGTCCATCCACATTCCTTGTCTAGGTGTGGTTGGCAGCCCAGCCAAATCAGATCAGTAGTGGACTGGAGCTGCTCCTGCAGAGAATGGAGGTAGGCCTTATGCACAGAGGGTAAGTGAGATTGATAGCATTTCTAGCAAAAGCTAGTTGCAAGTGCCAAGGTTTTCTTATCAGTGTACATTAATTGTAAAAATGGTTTATTTTTATGTTTTCATACATGCGTACAATGTACTTTGCTAATATTGGTCCCTTCTATTATTCTTTTCATTCCCTTTTTTTAGATTTTAGTAGATTTCACTATGACACTGTCTTTTGCTTTTCTCTTTCTTTTCATATTATTTCTGTCTTTCTTCTTTCCTCCCTATCTCCTGTCATCTCCTCTCTCCCTTTCTCTCTTTTCTCTCTCCTTTTTCTCCTCCCCCCCTTTCTCTCTCTTTGGCAAGGTTTTACTGTATAATCCAGCTGGCCTTGAACTTGCTCTACAGTCCAGGTTGGCTTTGAACTCATGATTCATCTGCCTGAATGCTGGGATTTCACAGTTCTGAAGGTTGGTGCTATGGTTTGGATAAAGTTCCTCCATGGCCTCTGTATTCAAAGTATTGCTCTAGGAGGTTGTAGAACCCTTAAGATATAGTGTTGGGAGAGGTTTTAGGTCATTGGGAGTATGCCCTTCAAGAAGATTATCAGGCTCTTGTCTTTTTTCTTTTTTCTTCTTTCATTTTTGCATCCTGGCCAGGTACACAGTCTTCCTCCCCAGCATGCTTTCCTTCATGTTGTGCCAAAACAAGCCCAAAGCAATGAGGTCAATGGGTCTGAAACCTCCATACTGTCGGCAAAATAAGTCCTTTCTCTAAGCTTACTTATCTTAGGTATTTGTTACAATAATGGAAAGCTGACTAGCATAGTTGGTATATTCAGAATGTTATAAGAGCCTTGTCTTGCTTGCACTATGATGCCTATTGTTGCTTCATTGATAGTATCCTTGATCATTTGCTTCAACTGGTATATCTTAGGACTTGTTTTGATTTTAGAAAGTTGCAGAATTAGCTAAAATTTCCTTTTGTTCAAAAATTTTTACCTAAAATTTGTGTAGCCCCTCTGGGGGGAATTAGAGCTCTTTTCTCACTTTTTAAAAATTGGAATTACTTCGTATTAAACTTATTGTGTGTATTGGTTTATATGGAACTTTCACTGAAATACTTGTAGGCTTCTATTCATGAAGGATAAATATTTTAGTTTTTAGAAATTAAAAAGTGAGGGCCACAATGATATATTTCTCTCTTTCAGTTTTCCTAAGGAAGATGTAAAGTAACATACAATTTATGCTGTTAATGGTTTTATTTATGGTCTATGTTGGTGCTTTGGGAAAATTGTAAGTAGTTCTTGTGGCTTTCCTGAGAGTAATCATGACTTTTAAACCTCTTACTGTGTATAATCAGTACTGTTGATCCATTTTGCACAAATTATGGAGCAGAGGACAGTATGGGTCATCATTGCAATATAGAACCCGTGGTAATTGTCTGTGGTATAGAATGGCAGTGACCATATGTCCATGAGCAAAATACAAGGAAGACAGACTGACAAGTAAGTGACTATGAGCACACAAGACTGAACTTAATTGTGAGAAGTGGTCTTCTACACACTAAACGTGTTACCTAAGCTGGAGAATCTGTATTTAAGAGTGATGAGGAGGTCTTTGGTTTGTTATTTGTAGGTAGCTACTTCAAAAGTCTTTTGTTTTGAGTTGGTCTTTAATCTCTTTGACTGAGTCAAGGTTTTATTTTTTATGTTTAGGCTATGATGTGAAATAATTTGCATTTGAGAAATGAAGCCAGCTGATCAAATGCTGATTACTGATTCATCAAAGACTCAGTCATTTATCTGGTATGGACTTTACTCAGGGTCAAAGAGCATTGGCAACTAAATCTCTGAGTTTTCATTTTTTCATTCATTCAAAGTGGAGAAGGAAATGGCTATTTTAAGGAGTTATGTACTAATCATGACAGGCACCTAAGCAAAGGAGTGCCTTTGTCTTACCCCACAGAATCACAGTAAATATTTAGTGAGATGAAATGTCTTTACTGGGGGAGGGAAATGATTTAAGAACAAAGTAAAGAGGAGGTATCTTCCCTTCCTGCCTCATTTATTTTATCCTTTTTGGTTTATTTCTGCTCAAACATATTTTGCTTCCTTTTTCAAGGCATTATGCTAGCAATAAGAATTTAGCTCACAGCATATTAAATAATTTTCTTGAAATAGGATGTATAAACCGTACATTTTACTTATTTAATGTATACAATGCAGTGTGTTTAGGATATTTACAGGGTTGTCAAAACTTAACTTAGTTCAATTTTATTTACTTTACTATTTCTAAAGTCTAGAAAGCAAAACGGAAAAAAAAGTTATTTATTCCTAGGTCTGTTTCTTCGGAAAACTACTAACCTAATACCACTTCAGCTCTGGGAACCCTGACTTGGGAACTTTACAAATGTCATCCCATTGTATACACCCAATCATCTTGAAAATAGGTTTGACTCCACCTTATATATAACAGCAACAGTATGTAAATATCCAGCACTTACCAAGTATAATTATTATCTCGGTATATGTGAAAACTCACAGCTCTCTATTTCATGTTCCTTTTCTCTCCCTGTCCACTAGCAGCCTCATGCTGCTTCCTCTAGCTCTTGAGGCATTCTGGACTCCTTTGAGAAGGACACAGATAGAGGGAAAATTAGAATGTTGAAGCTTCTGAAGACTGTATACTTGAGAACTTTTTATTGTCAAGTGGAAAAAGAATACTTTTGTACAGAAAAATGTGAATGTAAGAATATTAAAGGGCTATTGCCTCTAATACCCAGGTCTGACTTAGGGAGAGATACCAAAAATTTTTCTCCATACATTTTTAATGTTTGTTATTTTCAATGAATAGTTGCTTTTCCTCCTCAGCAGATAGTTCTATTCCTCCTCCTACTTAACTAATGTATCTGTGATGGAACTCATTCCTGTGAAAATGCTATTGCAGTAAACCGGTTCTGTTAAAAAATGTCAAAAAAAAAAAGCTACACGAAAAATGTGTACTGTGTGGTGAAATATCACTATTCAGGATAAAGAATAGAATGATGTTTCTAATGGGCACGTGTGTAGCTTGAAACAAGGGATCATTCCCAAACTCCAGCACACAAAAATATTCAGGTCTGACTAACTTCTGGCACTGTTTTAGGTATTTTATATATTATGGTGAATTGTGAGTGTTAGATACTAAAATGAACTTTTCTGTTGGTTCTAAGGTAAACAAAAATGTGGCTTTTGTCTCAATGTACCTGTTTTTAAGGTTGTGGGAAGTTGGTTAGTATATTTTATTTTATTTAACATTTTGTTTATCCCATCAGTCCTATGTATTGTCCTTAGTTTGGGATTTTTCTTCTGCAATAATTTTCAAAGAAGCCTATATTCTAATGGCTTTATTTGATTTTATTTTTTCTAGGAGTCAGAGAATAATAAGTTATGTTCCCTATATTCCTTCCGAAATACCTCTACCTCACCACAGAAGCCTGACGAAGGGAGTCGGGACCGCGATATAATGACCAGTGTTACTTTTGGAACCCCTGAACGCCGCAAAGGGAGCCTTGCCGATGTGGTGGACACACTGAAACAGAAGAAGCTTGAGGAAATGACTCGGACAGAACAAGAGGGTATGTGTAGACCTAGCTGTTGGACTTTTTTTTTTATTTTTTACGTTTCCAGGCTTTAAACAAGCAAACAACAAAATAAAACAAACAAGCAAACTAAAAAAAAGAGTGGGATTTCCAGGAACAAAGAAGTATGTAACTAGTACTAGCTAAGAAAAGTCCTTCAGATGTACTGTGGTGATCTATTGGGAGTGCTAAGCAGATAGCTTCAGTTAAGTTTGTGTATTTTATATGGCCGTAGTGATATTATATCTTCTTTTCTTTTTTTTTTTTGTCGATCATGGGGCCTGAACTCTGGGTCTGAGTGCTGTCCCTCAGCTCTTCAGCTCAAGGCTAGCGCTTTACCACTTGAGCCACAGCACCACTTCTGGCTTTTTTTCTGCTTATGTAATGCTGAGGAATCGAACCCAGGACCTTATGCATATAAGGCAAGCGCTCTACCACTGAGCCAACTTCCAGCCCTATATCAAAGTTTTGATCACAGAATTTTCTTATCACCCAGGAAAAAGGAAAGAAAAGAATTTTACTGAAAATAATTTTCCTTTCACCCTTATTTCCTTTTGTTCTACAGCATCTTTATGAACATTCCAACTTTCAAAACGTTAAAATATTTAAAAAATTTTTACTTTATATATGTTTTATTTTTACTTCCAAGTGTTGTAGAGAGCGGTGGGCTTGTAATATTATTAAAGCTAATATTCAAGGCAGAGTGCTTTGGTGTGCCATCTGCTGTAAATTCCCTCATTTAGCTTCTTTGCTCTGCACAAGAGTCTATCTACTCAGGTTTGTCTAAATCCTAGAAAACAGCGAGGAAAGAAAACTCTACAGTAAATCTTAAACAAAATAAGTGAAGTTTATGTGATTGCTATGTGATGTATGTTCTTTCTTCCTTCCTTTTGTTTTTTGAATGCACAACTTTTAGGCCTCAAAATGTAAATGAATTAATACTCTGGATTTATCTCTAGTCTTACAAGTTAACTTTAGACCTCTGTGACACTACATGGAAACTGGGATTTGATACAGGAGAATTTTTTTTTAGTCTTACCTAATTTGATGCTTTAAGAATAAAAAATTTAAATTAATTTCAATTAATTTTGTGAAAATCTATCTAAACTGTGTTTCTTGCTTCCCTGTTTCAGTAATTAGATCATATGATGCAGTGTCAGCCTCTTGATGACTCCAGAGCATAATGTAGTAAATTAGGAACCCAGCTATCAGTTAAGTGACCTCGAGTAACTTCTTAAATTTTCTAAACCACAGCATTTGAAATTTGGTGTGATATTGTACCGGATTTGACAAATCAAACATTTTGAGAGTTAAGTGTCATAGTGATCTATAAGTCTCTTATGCACTGTAAACTATGTGAATTTGATGTGTTTATTGATGAGCATAATACTATAAATGTCAATTATTTTTACCATGTTTTAATGTAATGATGCCCCTAGAGATCATTCAGTTAATTAGGACTGTTTGAGTTTATGGTTATTTCTCTGCAATTACAAATTTTTTTTATGTATCTTTTTATACCTCTCTCTTTTTCCTTCCATTCATCTGTAGGTTAAGATACTGGATGATCGGGAAATTCTAGACTCTATTCAAAATATGAGCTATTATATTATGGATAGGTTTCTGGTAGATTATGGGTAACACACATGATCTTTAATGGGTAAACTTCATGCTGATTCTTCTGCCCTCTCAGAGCTTTATTTTTTCTATGGATCTCTTTCATATCCAGTGAAACTTCTAAATTCATTCTTAGAATTATTTTAAATGAATCTTGTCTATTATATAGAATTACACACAGAATAATTATACTAAAATACTAAATAATTTAAATTTTTTATGATGTGGTGGAATGTGTTAGTTTACTAAGGTTAGCTTACTAACCTTAAAATTACATATTATGAAGAGTTTAACAATATCAGACTATTAAAAATAGTTATAACCATAGAAGATATTTTGAAATATCTCTTAACAAGTATAATATGATTTTAAAATATCAACTACAATCTGTTGATAGTAAAAACAAATGTAATAATATGTTATTTGCATAAATAGACTAATGGAAAATGTTAATTAGAGATTAATGGAATAAGTTTACATCCAAAAAATTCAATTAGAAAATTCCATGAGAAAATAACTTTTTTCCATCCAAGTTCAGAACCCATGAATTTTATCTTTCCATGTCTCTTGGGTTTGTGAACTGCAGGTGAAGAACCTCTATGCTAGATGACATAGTTCCCATAATGATTGAAGCAGTTCTTAACCTGAGGTAATTCATGTTTTACTACAGATAGAAGACAAACATCAAATGAACTCTAGTTCAATGTCTAACTTAAGGTGTATTTGCATACAGGATATAAGACTGAAAATCTTTGTTGTGTTCAAATCATAAAGACTCATTAATACTTGGTTGAAATGTTTGAACTTTACATGAAAGGTGATGAAGGAACCATTGACTATTTTTGAGCACACTTCAGTAATGGATTAGAGCTTTCCTTCAGGAAAGTTAGTCAGACAGCACTGTGTAGTACAAATTGGAGCAGAGAGAGACATTAAGGAAGTTGTTCCAGGCTAGAGATAATGAATGCTTGAATAAATGTAGTAGGAATGAGAAGGAGGATGCATATGGAAAAGATATTAGGAGATAGAATTGTTAAGACTTGATATTTAAGTGTGAAGACCACAAGAAATGGTTCTCAAAGATATCTCAAAGGATATTTAACAAATTTATTCTTGGAAGTGGTGCCTTTAGAAGATGGTAATACAATAGAAGTTGTTAAAGTTTTATAAATGGAAGCAATGAGGATTTCTAGTTTTTATTAGCATAACAGAACAAATAACTATAGAAAACATCAGCAAAAGTTTACTCCTGAACCAGATCTGGTTACTTTACGCCTCTCATTCTTGCTATCATGAAGGTTTATAATATCTCATGTCCCTTCTGTAGAGATGGACTTTTCTATTTTCACTGTTCTAGAAGCATAGTCTTTTCAGTCTCAGTATTCCACTGGTCTTGGGATGACTGATACATGCCTCTGTAGTCAGCCATGAGTTGAGAAGAGGTCTCTCAAACATTATTTGCCTGGGCTGGCCTCCAACTGCTGATCCTCCAAATTTTAGCCTCCAAATCAGCTAGGATTACAGACCTGAGCCACCATTACCCAGCCCTGTTTTGACTCTAAAGTCTATAAGTCCATCTTCTCATTTGAGACATATTAACACACTGAACATTGCAAATGCATTACAGGACCCTTCCTCACTATTACATCATAGTTCAAGAGTCATAGCATATGATTAGCTGATTGGCAGGACTTTGTGGTTAATACAATAGATGCTGATCTTTCCTGAGTCATTTTTGTCCTGGAGAATATTTTGCCTATCATATTACCTTTCAGCTCATTGCCTTCATATGTAAAAATTTAACTATATACTTTATTAGGGTCTAATGTGTTTCATTTATTTACTTTTGTGAGTGCTGGTACAAAAGCTTGAACTTGGGGCCTCATGTTTTCACTTGGCCTATTCACTATAGGCTGGTACTCTACCACATGAGCCACACCTACACTTCTGTGTTTTTGCTGGTTAATGGAGATAAGAATGTCACAGAATTTTCTGCTCTGGCTAGTTCGAACTACAAATCTTCAGATCTCAGCTTCCAGAGTACCTAGGATTACAAGCGTGAGTCACTGGCACCTGACTATGGTACATTTTAAAATAATACATATTTGATAAAGCAGATGCTTTGATCAACTAAATTACAGCTTAGAGTTTAATTTGTCATTTCTTCAAGAAATGTCTCCTTCAAGCCATGATTTGAATAAATTGCTTGAAACCCTGAGGAACAAACGTGCTGTCAGAAATTCCCTGCTCCTTTATTCTAGAGAGGTTAATAGAGAGTAGGTAACATTTCTACCTTTTGTAAATTTAACTTTAGAGTCATAAATAAATAGTTGTGTAGTAGGCTGATAGATATAGCCAGACATATATTTATATGCACACACAATATCAATACTGTTGAAATTGATGTATAGAGATCATAGTGAAGCATTTATTCATAGAGTCAGGTTAAAATGTTTCCAAGAAAAAAACATCCTTTGGCTGTAATTAAATGATGATTTTTAGTTATCCTTGTATCACCCATCTTGTTGCCAATATAGCTGGGCTCTAACATAAGCGACAGTTGTCAGAAAATGAATACTTTAAAAAGGACTTCTATATCTAAATACATATATTTAATCAGAGAGTCCTTTGGCTTCTGAAAATAAGTTGTCTAATGAGAATTTCATTTGAGCAGCTGTGACTGAGGAGGTCAACAGGCACTGCCTAGGAGAATATGGCCCAGCTGGTTAAATCTGGTTGTTGTCGTGATTTAAATGGTCAAGTGCTGCTTGTAATCCAGGACCGTCTGTTTGTAAAGAGAAGAGTGAGTGCTTCAGCATAATGTACAGCTGTTTTAATCTCTCTTTAATAATAGTACTTTAGCCACTATCATGTCTTGTGTCTCATACTACTAAGTATATGATCCTGGGTGGTGTACACTGGTTTGGGTCAGGTTCTGGAGTCATGTGAGACTGCAAGAAAAGGAACACCACAATAAAACCCTTTGACTATCTGACAAAATAAGTCTCTCTGCTCTTTGATCGTTTTCAAGACTGCTCCATGGATAATAATTCTTGTGATTAGAAGGGAGTGACAAAGATTGGAGTCAGGCAGAAATATCAGAATGAATGAACTTTTCTTGGCAGAACCCTAAACCTAATATAGGTGAACAAGTTTAGGTAAAATTCCATCAAACACACATTGGTCAGAACACATAGGTATGTGTTTGCCGTGTGGAATTGTGTGCTCCAGCTATCATGGTAAGGAAAATATGTGGATTCATTTTACTGTGCATGTAGAGAAAGTGCAGCCACATTTGAGCCTTTGGATTCCTGGTGGGATAGACTTTCCAATGGATTATGCAGCTGTTTGTGGGCACAAGAATGAGCATGTGTTTATGT